CTCCCAGCCCCTGTCTTTGCCTTCTGCCACTTGGGCAGCGTGACTGGAGCTCTTGCCAGTGAAGACTGAGGCAAAAATGTCATTGAGAACCTCAGCCTTCTCCATATCCTGGGTAGCCAGGTCCCCCGTTTCCTTCCGGAGAGGGCCTACATTTTCCCTAGATCTGTTTTTATCTCTGACGTATCTATAGAACTTTTTCTTGTTGCCCTTGATGTCCCTGGCCAGATTTAACTCTGTCAGGGCTTTAGCTTTCCTAACCTGATCTCTGGTTGCTTGGAAAATTTCTTTGTATTCTTCCCAGGCTACCTGTCCTTGCTTCCACCCTCTGTAGGCCTTCTATTTGTGCCCGAGTTGGTCCGGGAGCTCCTTGTTCATCCATGCAGGCCTCCTGGTGTTCCTACCTGATTTCCTCTTGGTTGGGATTCACCGCTTCTGAGCTTGGAGGAGGTGATCCTTGAATATTAGCCAGCTTTCTTGGGCCCCTCTTCCCTCCAGGGCCTCGTCCCATTGTACTCTACCAAGGAGATCCCTGAAGAGGCCAAAGTCTGCTTTCCTGAAATCCAGGGTAGTGAGCTTGCTGTGCACTCTCCTTGCCTCCCTAAGAATCTTGAACTCTACCATTTCATGGTCACTGCAGCCAAGGATGCCCTTGGGCATCACATGCCCCACCAGCTCCTCTTTGTTGGTGAGAACAAGGTCCAGCAAAGCACCTAACCCTCGTTGGTTCCTCTACCACTTGGAGAAGGAAGTTATCATCAAAGCATTCCAGGAACCTCCTGGATTGCCTATGCCCTGCTGTGTCATCCCTCCAACAGATATCGGGGTAGTTGAAGTCCTCCATGAGGATCAGGGCTTGTGAACATGAGGCTGCTCCTATCTGTCTGTAGAGGGCCTCATCCACTCAGTCTTCCTGGACAGGTGGCCTCTAGCAGACTCCCACTACTGTATCAGCTGTCCTTGCCCTCCCTTTAATCCTGACCCACAAGCTCTCAGTTGGCTCCTCATCCATCCCCAGGTGCAGCTCCATGAACTCCAGCTGGTCTTTGACATAAAGGGCAACACCTCCTCCTCTTCTCCCCTGCCTATCCTTGCTAAAGAGCCTGAATCCTTCCATTCTGACACTCCAGTCATAGGATTCATCTCATCTCACCACATCTCCATGATGACCATAAGATCACCTCTGGAAAAGGAATCAGGTAATGGATGGGCAGGACAGAGGATAGGACTTGACTAGGGACAAGGGTTTAGAAGGGGATTAATATCTTCAGTTTAACGATATGACTCATTTTTTTCTGAAATGACTAAATGCTATGTTTTAAAAATACTACTCATCTCATTTAGTATAGCAACAGAAAAAAAAACGCAAAACACTTAGCAAGTCTACTTTTATATATATCATGTAATCTTTTCCAAATAGCTTACTGTTTTTCCTGAACTGCTGGGAAGCGTTCATTAACAGTGTCAAGTTTGGCTTCTGCAGCTTCTGTAAATACAGATTTATTTAAGCAAAAAAAAGATATTTTTTCTAAAAACAGTAACAATAACAATCCTTTGTTCACATCAAATCTTGAACAGTAAATATAATCATGCCGTCCTTTTGATAGCGCTTAGGTGCTGGCTCCATTCTATTCTTCTAACTACTCAACTACTCCTCACACATGCAATTCAGTGAGTATTTCACCTCAATATTGTGGAGGCACCCTTCTGCAAATCGTTTCCAAAACTATGTTTACACGTGTCACAGTTCTAAATATATGTTTCTAATATTTGTAATACTTAAGTAAAATTCAGCTATATTTAAGATGGCAGTTTCAGGATGCTTACTTGCAGATGTGCACAATGCAAGTAACTGTTAAGATCCTGACTTGATGCATAAATTAGTCCCTGCAAGTAAACTTACCAAAACATCCCTAAATTTCTAGATCATGCCAGAAAGTCACATCACTTCTGTTTAAATCAGTTGAAGAAAATGAAATCATGTTAAAATTAACATGCTTGCATCTCAGCATTACAGAGTGCATTGAACTACCACTCTCAGGTTCCTCATCACTGCAGAATCCCAGTGCAACAGAATAGATTCTCCAGACACCACTGCAGAAGTTTGCAATTCTTCAGAACATTAGTAATAACAGCAGGTGCAACAGCTTGTAGCTGACAAAAAGAATACTACCCAAGCATTCAATAAAAGAGGGAAAACATGCAGTGTGAGACTACATGCAAGCATGGAATCCCATCTCACAGAAGAAAAAAGACGACCCATTTGAGTAACTCATCTATTGAGCGCTCATGATGAGGAAAGGAGAACTAGGTGATGAAGGATTTCAGTAGATCTTGATAAATAAATGCCCTTTTTCTTTATCACTAAATTTACAGGAAACAATAACAATGTTTGGAGAAGAACAGAAGAGGTTAAAATAGCAACTTAAAAACTTTTAGGGTCTGCAAATCTGACTCAAACGAACAAGAACAAACAAAACACTGTTGTTGTTTATCTCGTCACCTATTGCTCTTTTGCCCCAAACCACAAATCTACTGCATGCTCTGCCACAGCTACAGGTCTTGTAGGAAAAACTCACAGCAGAAGAAAGGCTGGCAGGCCAGAGACTGCTTCTAAGGAGAAAACAATATTGGCTGGAACTGCAGTTTCTTTCAATCCCAGAGAAAACGTACCTTCAAACCACTTACTTTAACAGGATATTTTTCCTGTAAACACACCATACCTTGGGAGTAAAATCGAGCTCTTCTTCCTCAGAAGTATGCCAACTGTCATCACTCCCCTCTTTCTCAGAGCTTCTTAAAAAGCAAAGCAAAATGAGTACTGTGTCTCTCAAATCATTCCTCAGGTAAGCGTCAGGTATTTTAAAAGTCTCACCTTATTGAATCTCCTTGGGAAAAGTCATCTATTGCTGTTCAAACATTAATTGAAATGTTGAAATTAGATTTGGCATATTAAAAATTAACCAGGACATATAAACATCTAACATGGACAATTCTACAGGTCATAGCAGAATGAAACTTTGGGTAGTCAATTCAACACAAGACAGCATGAACGAATACATTTAAAAAACAACTATCTTTTCAAGAAACACTGAACTACAAAAAAAAAAAGAGAAAACACCAGAGTTTTATCTCCTTTGGACTGTTATACCTAGAAGTTTAAGAAACATCTCTAAACTACAAAAATAGCAGAGCATGAATATGCTACATAGATAAACAGTTAACAAAACGGTGGTGCTTTAGCAAGACAGTAAGTAAATGAACCTCCAAAGTACTCATATTACACATACAAGTACAAATCACATGCAGAGATTTGACTATTTTATGTAACATGCTATATACCACACTATCTGCTGCTCTACCCAGTTACAGATTATTCTGAAAACAAAGAAAATCAAAAAGCCTAATCAAGACCTAAAGCTTATCCTCAGATTGAAGAATCCCCAGCAGTTCTCTACGCTGCACCAAAAAGGGTACTCAGCATACAAAAGGGGCATAACCAGGGCATTCTATGCTATGCTTTCATCAGTCACGAAGGCAACTTGTACATAGGATAAATCAGGTCAGAACAGACCTCAGGAAGTCTCAGCCAACCGCCTCCTCAAAGCAGGCTCAGCTATGAGGTCAGATAAGCTTGCTTAAGGCTTTATCCAGTCTGGTGCCTCCAAGGAGGGAGACTGTATAACCTCTCTGTTTTACTGTCCTTATTGTGGTGAAGCTTCTCACATTCAATTAGAAACTCTCTTGTTTCCATTTATGCCTCTTGTATCTCTGCCTGCTGTCATTCACCATTGGGAAGGACCTGGCTTTGTCGTCTTCTCATATGTACTGGAAGCCACTGCTGGGTCCCCTTCAAAGTTGCCTCTTCTCTAGGCTGAACAAGCCCAGTTTCCTCAGCCTCTCCTCAAAGGGCAAATGCTCCTGCCTGTGATGAGTCTCATAGCCCTCCACTGAACTTGCTCACTGTTGAAAGACCAATCTCCCTTTCACTGTTGGCTCAAAATTTTACCCAGCGGGCTGGACATAATCCAGTCAGTGCCAAGCAGGAGTGGACAATCACTTTCTTCAACCTCTTGGCTATGCTGCTCTTCATACAGCCCTGTTGACCTTCTCAGTTGCCAGGGCACCCTCCTGGCTCATTCTCAGCTCACTCTCTGCCAAAAGTCTCTGGGCCTTCTCAGCAAAGCAGCTCTCCAGCCAGGCAGTCCTAGTATGCTTTGTAGCAAGTGGCTGTTCCTTTCCACATGCAGGACTTGGCATTTGGCCTTGCTGAATTTTTTAAGAGAGGCCTGACAGTCCATTTACTCAGCTTGTCAGGGTCCCTCTGAGCAACAGTGCTGCCTTGAAACCTATCTACTGATCACCCAAATTTGGGGCTATTTGCAAACTCAAGAGAGTGCACTCTAGCACATCACTGATGTGCTAAAGAAACCTGAACTCTAGGAATACCACCACAGTCTCTAATTTTTAATATTTCTTATTACAAACATAATATTTAAAAATATGAATTAGTTTTACATACCGCAGTTTTCTGTTAACACTCTCAGTACCAGCAGTCTAATCTACCTGTCAACCTTCCAGGATGAATAAAACTCTGTCTCTTAGAACTGGGTGGATAGTGTGGAGTAGTCAGTTATAAACTCTTGACAGGTGACTTCAGTTACATTTTCAGTTAGTACAGTTACAATTAACCAAACCAGCTGAATAAGTTATTTGAACTTTTGCTTTCAATGTACAATAACTTTAAGCAATGATCAAAACCAGGTCATGTTGTCCTTTAGAAGGCAAGAGAGAAAGTCCATGAGCTAGCTTTCAGACAGACCTTGATGCCCTACTGTAGCAATGGGATCTAGAAAAGCAGTCCCTGGGGATTGCTTGTTTCCACTTTAATTGAAGTCCATTTCCATTTTGGAGTAACAGAAGAGCATATTTAAAAAATATATATATTTACTATCACTAATGACACAAAGCAAACACTGAATTCAATAATAAAGGACCCATGCAAAACATGCAAACAAATAAAAAGTGGCCAAAGCCTGCTCTCAAATCTGATTTATAAAACCAAAATCAAAAAACTACTAAAATCAAAATAGGTATCTCTAGGATAATAAGCATCATAGGTGTGTTAACATTTGTATATTGTACAACATGTTTCATATTTGAAATGCTACTGTATAGAATACCTTTCCTTGATTTTCCTGTTCTTGATGTCTGGTTAGGAGATTGTTGCATTCCTATATCCATTTAGGAAAAGGCATGGAAAGGACAGACGAAACAATGACATCAGAATAAATTCGAGTTCCCAGAAATTTGGAAAATATAAGCATCAATAAAGCTAGCAATGGGAGAACGTGTTGTGACTATCCACCTACTCTACAGTTGGAAGTGTTAGAAACAAAACCAATCAATCTACCAAACTCTACTATCAAGGGACAGTGTCAAACAGTGCAACTTGATTTACTTGCTCCATGTAAAACACTCATATTTCAATATTTTGACATACTGAAACAGATTGTCAGAAATTTACTCTACTGCCAACTTTATATTTCCCTTAACTTGACTAGTCCTTGCCTAGCACAGAATGCAAATGCAATTCCTTCATATTTGTAGAGTGCTCTATACATACAGCACACTTTAAATCCCTCCCCCTAAGCATCCCAAAAATCCTTAAGTGACAACAACTAAACTTTGGATATGCACTACCCAGAAATTCTGAAGGAAGTCTTGGCTCTCATCAGCACTCACACCACCACGCAACTATCTGACACCAAATTCCTCCATTATGAGGCCATAACATTTGTCTCAGAGCAGAAGGGAGTCCTGCTTATATTGATTTTACCACAAATACATGGAATGGATGTGGCAAAAGGACTCCCATCAAAAAACATACACTTAAAGATTTAAGAAAGGACCTCAAGATGGTTTCTCACCCTTTCTCCATTTCTCAGTTTTCTTAAAAGGTGGTACTGGACAACTTTTCCTGACCTCAGGAGGTATAAATCACACTGAAGCACTCATTTATTTTCCAAGAGCTCCACAATGAAAAATCAACAGTTTCTACAGGGCCTCAGGGAAACACTGAAGGAACAACGCACTAATATGCAGTGCAGTAGCTAAAAAACCAAAGCTGCCACTGCAGCCATACTAAAAATCTGAATCCTTGACTTTAGAAAAATTGCATAATTAATATATTTTGCCAAAGAAATTCCAACTTCAGATCTAAACAGTCCGTTGTTCAATATGCCAGGGCTGGAAGCCATTCATTCATTCATTTGGAGATTTTTGCAAACCTGTATGTGATTAATAAAAAGGTTCATGTTTTGACAAAAAGTAAACATTCAAATAAGCATGAACCAACTTCTTAAATATGCAGACTTGCTCATTAGAGGAGAATATTTTGAATAATGTTCAACAAGAGCAAAAGCAGCAAAATGAATAAGGACAACATTGAAGACCCCAGAAAAACAGTACAAAAGAGCCAAAGAAAAGATAAGAATTCCAAAGCGTGTGTTTCTCTGGTCTCTCAAGATCATCCCAGCTTCTCCTCCAACAGAGGCTTCAAAGCCTGTTACTGCAGCACATCAAAGGGACTCTCATGATGCAGGACCTGTGCTTTGCGGGTGCGAGCCAGGGACTGAAGAATTAATACCAATAAGTGTTCCCTATGTGCTACTAATCTCTCGTGCTCAACACACTGGGGTAATTTTTAAGAGACTGAGCACAAGGAGAAAAGGATTCACACCACTCAGAAGAAGCCCTACTAGAAACAGGCCAAGAACAGCACATACTCTTTCTCCTCCCAAGTCCCTAACCCACATAACAGTCTCTTCACACAAGGATAAGAAGTAAAGATTTCCCATAATGTTGGGGATTTATATTACTTGTATTATTATCTTCAAGGAACGGGGCAAATTATTTGGTTCAAGAACCTGCATTTCCCTGAGGGTATGTCAGTTTTGGAATCACACAACAGCATTATTCTTCAAGCCACCTGTTTTAAAACAATCCAGGCCTGTCAGCCATTACAATGTGGTACCACAGCATACACAGGAGGCAGTAACAGAATGATGTTTGGGTGAAAGTCACATTTTGCTGCTTAAACTACTGTCCCAAGCCCTTTAAAAAAAAAAAACAAACACAAACTGCCTTCAATCTATCAAGAAACTTTATAAATCTTCTACGAGATGAAAGCAACTGTTCCAAAGTCAAAGGAACAAAGTTGGGCTCTAAATTAAATACCCATATCTGGGAAAAGTCAATGAGGAAAAATATCCCATGTTTTGCTCATGCTTCCTGACATATTTAAAAAAGAAGTAATGAACTGTGTCTGCTGCCCATTTGCCACATAGTTCTGATATAACACCCTTAAAAAAAACAAAGGATAAAACCTCCCACTGTACGGTCTGAGATGTAAAGTACAAGACAAACAATTTCATTTATATTAAAATACTAATTTTCTAAGATTCCTTTAGGGCTATGTGAGCTCATAAGCATAGACTGGATCATAAAAACTCACTGAAGGAGTTAATTTTTTGATCACAAGGCAATTTAATTGCTGTTATGGATCACAAGGTAATACGGATTTTTTAAAGTTTATTTCATAAAATTACTAAAAGTGTAGGAAAAGCATTATTTTTATTGCAAATCAAACTATGCCCAAGATACAGTATAAACGACACTATTGTTGTTGCTAACAAAGTTACTTTTTCAAGACAGATTTTCCTAAATGTGTCTCTACAGCACCTACACGGAATCAATCGTAACTGACGCGGAGAAATAAGATGACTCATTAAATGAAGCTTAGTGCTGGTCAAACTATTAATACTGAAATAAAGACACACAAACTCAGTGGAAATCAACAAGACATACATCTTCCCACTAACTCATCTGTTGCTTCCCAACTACAGAAAGATGAACAACTACTCAGGATGGACCTACTGCTTTTGCAATTGGATCTTCATAACCTAAACAGCCATCTATAGGTGAAAGAACAGACCTTGAAAAGAAACACAATCTTGCCTGATTCTTTCCCATCCCCCTTCTCTCTAGGAAAAACCATACAGATGTGCAATCTGACAGGCAGAAGGCGACAACCCTACAGGTGGACGTGCAGCACACAAATGACAACTGCCTTCACAGCCTGACAAGAAGCATCTCCAGCTAGCAGCAAATAAGCACATTCACAAAACTTCCTGTGCTATTCCACTGGACGCCTCCACTGAAGTCAACGGTGAGCACAAATAAGCGTTAACAATACAAGCCACCTAAAGAAAAGGCCACAGTGATTTTCCTCATAAGCTCCTCCACGGTTAAGGATCCTACCTCCTCTGTCCACAGCAGGTGCACCCAACGTAAAGCCAGCAGCTCCTGCCCGGTGAGGAGTGCTAAGTGTCGTGATGCCTTGCGCGCTACCTGCTGAAGCTTCTCCTGTGTTTTCCCAGTCTGCGTATTCTGCCAGTTGTTTACTAAGACTAGAGAGAGAGAGGAAGTATATTTGGCAAAAATTACCATGTACTTGCATATACCATTTAATAGAATAGTTAACAGCCACTTATTATCCATCCTACACGTATTCATACACACATGAATTCATATACTTGTGTGCATTCGCCAAGAGTAATCCACACAGAACTTCATTGCATGACTACTACGTACTTCAATATTCACTACACTCGTGTTCATTCTACACATCCATATTCATACCTACGAAGTTACTAACTCCTGCTTAGTTCATTTTTTTCACCCTAGTTTTTAAGCAGACATAACCAACTTAGAGCAGGAACACCCACAGGTATAAAGCTAGGCGTAAGAGGAGTAAAACTGCTTAAGATTTTAACAAAAGAGAGATCAGTTTAGATCTCCTCTGAAACAAAAGGCTGGCAGTTCCTGGTCATTGTACTGGAAGCCAGTAAGGACAACGGTGCTGGTCTGGGGAGTGGGTTTACACCGTTTCAGTTTGCCAAGCTCCAGCTCTGGATAACTGTAGGATACACTTTTTAGAGTTTGTATTGGGCAGATATGAGCTTAGCAACAAAACCTGAAATCTAACAGAGAATTCTGAGGAAATTTTCCTCAACTTGCAAACTAACACTAGATGCAGGAACATTACGTATCAGAAGACATCACTGTGCACGGCTTCGAGACAGGTCACAGAACACCATTAAACCTTCATGCTGTTACCAAAAACGTCCAAAACCACGACTGACAGGTTTCCTAACAATAAAGTTAAAAATTTACCTAGAATATCCATGAATAACAGCGTAATCTTCAGCTGTCCATCCATTAGTGTCTTTATGGGACACATCAGCACCATACCGAAGAAGAACTTTTATCAAATTAAGCTCCCCACCAGAAGCAGCAGTCATAAGTGGAGTTCTGAAACATCCAAAATATAACATGAAACAGATTATTTTACATAGACACTGTAATTATTTTTATTCCTACTTGCTCTCAAAAAAATGTATTTCCCTTATTATTTTAAAATGAACGAAAGAAAATGTAGTTTTGATTAAGCATTAAGCGCAACAATAAAATGAGAGGGAGTCAAAACAATTAAATGTTCAATTTTCAGATAAAGCTTCCACACAGATAACACTTACATACAAACTAGGCTGCTATGCAGGAGATGGTTTTTCAAATTGAGGCAATGCTGCTGAGCTCATGGCACGTTTCCTGCCAGCAGGGCCATCACAGACAATGCCTCCTTGCAACCCTGAATGCGAAAAGCATCCACTGAGGTATGACAGCAGCCAAGTGCACACCTGCTTTCACAAGTCACACTGAAACATTTCCTTCTGTGTGGCTCCATGTTTTTTTTCAGAGCTCATTCCCATGCCTCTCATCAATCCAACTTAAAGCATACTGGAGATCCATCTAGAGTTTTGACAAACCCCTCACCTTTCACACTGATCTCGAGCATGCACATCAGCTCCTCTTTTAAGGAGAAACTCTACTATCTCTTCCTGATGCTCCATGACAGCAACAACAAGCGGAGTGCACCCCTCCTGAAAAGATACATAAATGAATCAAGTTAAAAATCAAAGTCAAAAAACCCTTCTAGAGAAATATTAATGCAACTTTGTGAAAGAACTTCCTTAACAGATATAAAAATTTACCTTATTCTGGGCATCAATATTGGCATTATGCTCAAGTAACAGCCCCGCGACAGCTGTATTAGGAGATAGGACCGCCAGGTGCAGGGCAGTGTTGCCGTCAACATCTGCCAGGTTTGGGTCGGCACCATGCTCTAGCAGAATAGCCACACATTCTTCTCGCTGGCACTGTACTGCCTAGGAACAACATACAAAACAGGAAAAACTTCCAGCATTTACATTTCACTCTGCTACAACTCCCCCAGCTTTCCTATGCTGCAAAAGAAGAGTGTCTTCAAAGATTACCTATTCCACACCGATCACAATATGCATGTTTCTACATAGGTCTATGCAGACAACTCTTGAAGATACATTATTTAGTGCATAATCAATAAACCCCACTTCCAAGAGCATTACACATTCCACATACCTTCATCAGTGGTGACCTGTTATCACTGTCAAAAAGATTCAGCTTACACTTGTTTTCTATTAGATATGTGACAACATCCACATGGCCGTTCGCACAAGCAAGATGCAGAGGTGTCCTAAAAACAAATATATTGACTTAGCACAGACAGACAACTAAAGAAATAATTTCAGGCTGTGATAAATGGACATGACCAGAAGTTTCACTTTGCAAAAAGTAAGCTTAAGAAAAGATTTCTCACTCCATTACCAGTAACAACAGTTGCACACCAAATGCCTGAGGCTGGCTGGCAAAAACCCTCCACAGCATCTGCTCAGTAAAGTGACATTTCCTTCATCGTACAACTGAATCTGCACAAACAGATTCCTGTGTTCAGGCATTGGTCACTGTCTGCAGCAGGACTACACACGGCACAGCAACAGAGACCAAAGGTTGGAAATCTGAGGACTACAGCAAGTAAACCTCTAAGTTCTTCTATGATCATTCATGTGCAAGAAGTGTATCAGAGATGTAGGAGATGGGTTTTATAGCAAGAATATTAGTGTTTCCCCGCACTTTGAGAATATCTGCGTTTTCTCTACCTTCAGAACACTGTAACCCTGACTACAGGAAAGTAGTATTTGACCTTCCTGATGTGTAACTGTCATAGTCTTAAAAAGCCTACTACAGAGGAAGTCCTCTCCAATGAGGGAGCACCGTGTTTCCACAATACATGACCAGCATAAGAAAACGAAACTTTTTTCTTCAAGTTAAAGCCCTGGCAGAAAGAAAAGGGCGCCTTCAAACCACAGAACATCTTAGGTCTGATGTCAGTTAACCAGCCTACCTGTACCTAAAGACACAATCACCCAGAAAGTCCTTGCATGCGTTTTCCCCTAACTCACAGGCACAAAGCAGAACAAGCTTCACTCTGTGCAGAAGGCAAAGTGCCTGCTGCTCTGCAGGACACCTGTCCCAAGAGAGCAGAAGACAAGCTAGAAAACAGTCAGGACCTTCCTCTGCTTAAGGTGATGCAATAAAAATCCTGGAGCTCCTCAAGAACTGAGGGGAACACCAGTACTGAACCACATCACCATGGGTAGGTCCTTCTCTGTATTTAGGAAAGCACAACTAACCTCGCAATTGTTTTGGTACCTTGCTGAGAGATAGGAGTGCAACGGCTCACTGGCTAGGTGGGAACGGAAAGGGAGAGGTACACAAACACAGTGGCATATGATGCAGAAATGCAGCAATTTGTTATGCACATACTTCTTGTTACAGGGCAGCTGATGAGCCTCCTCCAGGGCAACAAGGATGAGGACAAGAAACAAAACTTCAAAGAAGTTGTAATGTCTTCCTACTGACAGGAAACACACTGAAGCATTCACAGAACAGTCCCTCAAGAGCGACTACCACCATTTTTTGAGAAATTCCCATGTAAGTATGCAGGATCTTCCATCTCTGAAGAAATGAGGGACTGAGATTATCTGAAAGCTAACCAGGGCTGGTTATGAAGGAGTCCACGATCATCTAAAACCTGCTACTATCACGCACTAGGAAACATGACAAACCTGAAGAAGTCACTGTCAGCTTTGCAAACAGAAAAGCCTTCAGAAAACCTGTGGACTTGTTGCTGCCTTCCTCAACCAAGCCTCTCAGTCTGCTGACAGGAAAGGAGATGGCTCTGCCTGGAGCAAGGCCTGCTGAGTTCCACAGGAGATCCGCTTTGGGGAACAGGCTGGCAGAGAACATCAGAGTGTTCACAGTTGCCTGTCCCTGCAAAAGGCCTCTAGTTACACCAAAGCTGTTCTGCCACCCAGCCCTGGGGACCCTGCTCAGACTCTGCTCCTCCTGCTACTGCAACCCTACGCTGATCACCCATGGGGTAGAAGAGAACCACTGATGCCTGAGCAGCTGCAAAACAACCCCACTGGGAGACCACAGGGAAACACCAGGTTGGCAGCACACACTTCCAAGGGCACTTGAGCTGACAACCCAGCGGCTACAGGCTAAGGAATGAAAAGCTCTACAGTTCACTCTGACAGGCAGCTGACAGGGTAAATCTCTCTTAGTAATTAGCTTTGACCCAGGATTCATGACTAGCTGGCATCATGCCTACAGTGCTTCCAACTCTGCGCTAAGTTTTGCCCATCTCTTTCAGCAAGGCTGAAGGCTTTGCTAGACCACCTCTGAAAAGCTGCCTGCTCCTAACCGATGCTGTTCCAAGCACATTTTGTGGGAGGTCCTATGGGCTACAAGACCCACTTTATGGAATGACCTGTAAGTGTGATACTTGCCATGTCCCTGGTGCAGGATTTTGGTTTTGGAAACCCTAAGGAGCAGAACTGAGATATTTGTATGAACAATGCACACATTCTAGGCATTACTTCCCTCATTTCCCATTCTTCACCTCTATTTCCAATGATGTCAACTCTTCCAGTCCCTGGAGGACACTATGAAGCTCTGAAACACTATTGCGTCTGGTGGTCACTCACAACACACATCACACCCACAAAAACCAAGAGGGTATAAGGTGGGCCTGCAAGCCTCATGGCTGGTATAGCGTACAGGGGCTGCAGCAAGCAGACAGACTCTGTCCACTGAATCTGTCTCGGGTAAGCTTTTTAGCAGCTTTTCAGTACTGGCCATTGTCATGCCGAATCATCGCAGTGCTCTATTGTATGTACACTGCCTTGTCTCTTGTGTGTTTGTTTTTTTTCTTTTTTTACAGTGTGCTACTTCATTTGCCCAGTTATAACACTGATAATAGCACGAAACACAGAAGGAAACCCTTCCAGAGGAAACGAAGCTTTCTAGACAAGATAAACTTAAAATGCAAAAACTAGTCGAATTTCATACTAGGGTCTGCTAAGACCTGATGACTGACTGAATTGGCCACAGTGAAAAAGAGGGTAGTAAGAAGAAAAAAAGAGAAACATTCAGCAGCTACTTCCATAAAAGCCATTGGGCACCTTGACTCAGGCAGCCGGAGTACACACAAAACAAACCAAATTCCCCTTAAACTGCATCCCCCATCTCCAGCTACACAAACACTGACTGGCAACACTCAGGCACACAACCCACACTAACAACATGGATGCTTACCATGCTCCTCCTTGCTCCTACAAATCTAGGTGGTTCTAGGTGTTTTCAGGGCAATAAGCTAGCTGGCTGGCAAAAAGCCCAGTCTTCAGGATAGACAGTCTAGGAAGCTGAGCTACTCTGACAAAACCAGCATTATTTTGGAATACCACGAAGGTTTTGACTCCAAGTCTTTTCAGAAAAGGCATTAAAGGGTTGTCACATATAAGACCTAAAAACTTCAGTTGATTTCCTTATGCTTAGGATGGATCACTAGGAGCTACGCTGCAGCCCAGGGCTTCTCTAAGATATGTATGCCAAACAGTTGCTGTGCTTGACTCAAAAACCCATACCGCCCAGATCCTCCAATCCAAGATACTGATTAGCTGTACCAAAGCCTCAGAGCAAACAACTAAGTAACTGCTACCTAAAATCAGACTCCTGCTTTGGCTGCCACATCACAGTCACAAAAGGCACATGAGGCAACTGCGCATGCAGCATCAGTAAACAACACGTTTACTCTGCACTATAGCTCTTTCCTAACTGCAGTGCTTACCTGTCCTTAAGTTACTCCCAGTTGAGACCGTGCAGTTTTCTCGGCTCAACTACTAAACCTACACGCTGGGCCCTCAGGGATGCATGCGATTGCACTTTGACTTCAAAGAGTGGCTGGAGAACGGCCGTGAAGCTCCTTCAGAAACCCACCTTTGCCAGGCTGCTGCCAGCTCCCTTCCACCCCTGCGCCCCCAGGCAAAGAACCGCGACACCGGGAATGAGGGCACCGAGGAGGCCGGGGCAAAAAGGGTACGGCGGCTGGATGCCAGGCCGAATTCAGGGGTTTCTGGCAGCACAAGCCTGACTCCCACAACCAGCCGAAGGCTGAGCTC